GCATCAAGTTTTACTTTATCCTGAAGATAAAAGGGAACCATCACATATTTTTAAAATGGCAGAGTGATTAAAAATAACTCCTCAGGCAAGTTGCTCACTTAGAACAGAAAGAAATTAGGCAGAAAAATTAGTTATGAGTTGATGGGAAGACAATGAAAACCCAAATAACTTGGTGAATAACTAAAAGAGATTTTAAGATAGCAACTATAGGACTTGGTGATAAATTATATGTGTGAACTGAGAGAAAGTCAAAGATGAATCTGAAGTTTCTGCACCTGCTAGCACAGAAATCGAAGCCATTTTATTTAATTCAGCAAGTATTTATTCAAAGTCAGTGCCAGATGCATGTCTAAAGCTATAGGTCCGTATTTGAGTGTAGGAAAGGAAGAAATAAGTTAACAATGTAGGAAAGGTTAAAAATTTGGGCTTGCTGGTAAATTAATAATAAAGTATTAGAGGAGCTCACCATTATGATTCTGTAATCACATATACTTGTGAAATGTTAGCACTGGAAGTTTTTCATGACCATTCGTTATGTTGGTCCTTTTAAAGAAAGCAACGTGATAATAGTTGCATTTGGAGACTAATCAGTTGGTTGAGAAAATGTAAAAATAAAAAGCAATTATTAAAACCGTTGTTTAATGTTTTTGTAGGAGATCCTGGATAGAGTGGGAGAACAATGTGGAACAAAATTCAAAATCATTAAAAAAAAAAAAAAAGTAGGGGGGTTGGGGACCAGGTTTGCTGCTGGTCTGATAGAGCCTGATAAAACCACTGAGACTGTGGCCCCCAGCTGCCCTTCAAGTCTGGAATTAAACCCACTCCTGTGGCTTCTAGCCAGACAAAAGACAGGCATATGAGCTGAATATTTACATTAGGTAGATACATTCCTTGCAAAGAACAATTATGTGAGAATAGAAAGGCTGTGTATGCACAGGGAGACAGCTTAGGGGGCAGGAGTGCATGGAGGGAAGGACACAGGGAAGAGATAACTATGGGGAAGAAGTAGGGGGGAGCTGTTGCATTGTGGGAAATTGCAGCCAATGTCATGAGACAAAGTATATGTGAGCTGCTATATGGAAAGTAAATCTGCTGTGTAAATTTTCACCCAAACAAAAATATAAATAAATAAATAAAAGCATTGTTTAATGTTTTATTTAATCACAGAAGTATCTACGTATATTTGAAAAGTAGTGGCACACACATGTAAGACATTTTGTCTACAGACAGTATATAGGATAGTGGCAAATAACATAGACTCTGGAGTCAGAATGTGAATTGAGTCTAGTGCTTGCTAACTGTAACTGAATGAGTTACTTGCCCACCTATGCTTAGTTTTCTTATCTGTAAATTGGAATAATAATAATGCCTACCTCATAGGTTTATCATATGGATTATAAATGAGTTAATACAGAGCCTAGAACCTAGAATGGTATCTAGCACATTGTGAACACTATTGAAGAATTTGCTATGATGATGGTGTTTTTTTTTTGTAACATGCAATAACCCGGAGGCTTTATTCTGATAAATTTTCTTTCTTAGATTCTTATTCTAAACTCACTGCCATCAAGTCGGTCCCAACTCTTGTAAGCCCCTCCTTGTGTTTCCGAGGTAGTATCTCTATGGAAGTAGATTGGCCAGTCTTCCTTCCGAGGAGTGTCTGATGGGTTTGAACTGCCAGCCTTCTGGTTAACAGTCAGATGCCTTAGGCACTACGCCACCAGAGCTCTTAGATTCTTATTCTGAAGAATGATTATTGGAACATTTGAATAGTATGTTATTAAAAAGATACTATTTTTAGAAACTTGTGTTCACAGTTCTGCTTGACTCTCTTCAACCTTTCCATCCACTTCCTGCTACATATACTTTAACTCCTCCTTTCTCATCTGTGATTTCAGGAAAGAATTAAGCTCTAATTTCCTAAGATATCCTTTATATGTAATAAATTAACCTCTTTTCTGTTCATCTAGAATGGGACTAATCACCATTCTTGGGAAAATTGAGAAAATATCAAATGATTTTCTGTAGTTAGACAAGGAACCCTAACTGTCAAGAGATTATGTAAATCAAGCCATGTTAACTGTTTTGTTTTATGGAATGATGATGATGATAATGGCTACTTTCTCTATATCATTAAGCATAAGATCTAGCATATAGATAACAATTTTTGAGATGTCTTGTCTTTTTGTTTTGTTGTGTTTTAAGAAATCACTCCCTACAGACAACAAATATGAACCCCTTTGCATATACAGTACTGAGTTGTCAGTGAAAGCAA